CGCAGAGGCCATGCCTCGCACCCATACAACAACACAGCCCTTACTGTTGCCTGGCACGCACGACACCTAAGATCTAGTGAGTTGCCTTTTTGACGCCACAAGAGACGCAAATGAGCAAACGTTATTTGAGCCTTTGAGATCTTTGCACTGACTTCATCAGACACACTTCCGTCAGAGCTAATACAACTACCGATGTATGTAGAATTTTCCACAACCTCCGATGATTCTCCTTGAATTGTAACGGGTAAGTTCAGAGACTGCACGTTCTGAAGCATGAATTTGTACTTTGAAGGTGCAAGGCGCATGCCAAGTTTGAAATATAGGCTAACACTACCTGTCAGCGATTTTATTGTGGCTGTTGAAAACCGGACCAATGGTGCATCTCAGGTGGACACCAATAAACGGGATCCAGTATCGGAAAATAACTGAATGCAAAATATATCCTGCCAAAGGAATAATGTACTCCCTTTTCTATGCTAGGTTGACCGTTGTATACATCCGTTGACTCACGACAATGCTGTTTTGTGTTCCCGTTGCCTAGTTTGACATTGCGCTGATACCATATTTATCTTTTGTTATTAGTTATCCCTTGGTTGTGTTTTGTAAACTATTTCTGTCAGGCGCTTTTAGTTGCACAAGTTTCCCATGCCTAGTCATGTCACGATATAACCCTGAAAATACGCTTTATAACTGACTACTCATGAGTAGCTCAGAAAATGTACGGTTCACTTTGGAGCGGTTTAAATCCCAGAGGCTTTCTCATTCAAGACGCTCGTGAGTTCTAACCACATTGAAGATATGGACTGACTGTCGATTTGGATTACAGCTTCTGCATCACACCACTCTGCACACATTGGCAGGTTAAACCTGGTCCAATACAACATCACGATTTTTCATTGGAGCGTTCACAGACACGACTGGGTCATCCTTCCAGTTACGGGTATTACGAGGGCTTTTGGGGTAGATGACATTCACGCCTTTTGTGTCTCACAATACAGACATTTAGCTGCCCTCTAGTCTTTCCTATATGAATGACGATATGTAGGCGAGAGCGGCAGGCAAACACGTTGCAGAATTACGGGAGACAAGATACTTTCCGTAAACAGAACGACTTGTTCGTCCAGGTTGAACAGTATTTTGTATGCATCTCATATCATATCATACCATATCATATCATACATACATACATACATACATACATACATACATACTTACATACATACATACATACATACATACTTACATACATACATACATACATACATACATAGAGGAACCACTAGCCTCATCCAGAGAGATCCTTTATGGGTGTTTCATTCTCAGCTGAAGCAGTATCGATAGAGTATTTCAAGGAACATCACTCTTAAACATTCTGTTTCCCACATAGCATAAGAAAGTCAAGGTCATCCCTCTTTCTTGAACATCGAAGTCTACGTTTACTTCTTTATGTTTCGGGGAATCCACACTTAGCTCATCTGCCATACGACTATGTGACATATATGAAGCATAGAATGTTGTTGAACGGAGGTGATTGGCGGAGAGCAACTGTCATCAAAATCACAGTGAACGTCCCGGTTCTCCTCCACTCGTTTCATTCCCAAATGTGTCACTTTTTTCAGCAGAATTCTTCCACTATGTGCAAAGAAATATTCTGTGTTTTTAATAGTTGGCAACCTTCCCACTGCCTGTTGTTGAAAGTACTCATTTTTATTGTCGGAATGTTACGAAATCCATAAACAGGTAAAAATTGAACAATACTCATTTTCGGACCATCTCGGTGTTAACGGGAGACTCGAACGAACATCTGGTTCACGAGCTTCACCAACTGACAGTGTTAAATACAGTTTCAGTTAGTTCCGTGCTTGCGGTATCGAAATATATTCAAATCTCGTCTACAGATTGATAATGTTTTTGGCATTCTTGGGGCTCATCAAGCTTTGTGACCCACCTCCCATCGAAAACCACCTCGTGCACAACTTTCCAATTAAAACCAAACTAGTTTGAAATGAGTGAAGCATACATTCATTTGCAAACTAATTTGGTTCTTTCGAGAGACTCACCTGGAACCCAGCTGAATCTCTCGTTTATGCTGTTCTCAGGCAACTGAATGTGCTACACCAGGCCGCCTCATGTTTCACTTGCTACAATATTCGAGATATCGCGATACATATATATATATATATATATTTGTAACTACTCATAAGGTTGCTGAAAATCCATTGACAGCCCACGATCGGAAACATTACAAACGAGAGATTCAGCTGCGTTCCAACTAAGTCTCTCGAGAAACCAAATCAGTTTGCAAATGAGTGTATATTCGCTAATTTCGTGCAATTTGGTTTCAAGTAGAACCTGAGGTTGACGGAAACCCGGGGACTGCGCCTACCTGATGAGCTCGAAGAAGGGCGAAACCGGTCATGGGCTGTCGACGGATCTCCAGCAACCTCATGAGTAGTACATTGCAAATATATAAATTGTTGGAAATGAATTTATTTCTTCAACTGTCCACTATTTTTTCTTTCAAGTAGGACATAAGTTCCACCAGTGCTCCTGACTTATGGTGATGTGGTCAGTGGGATATCGAAGAGTTTTAAGTAGCGCTATAAGTAGTGTGTTACACCAAACGCACTGTCCACCATATATGCGTGGTGAAAACTTTATTCAATTAAATGCCTTCCAGCAGGTGATCTGCATGTTGTTCGGAATAAGCACTGCGCATGTTGTCTGATTCAATACATCCCGGAGCAGTAACTAAGTTTGACCCCAAAAGGTCTCATCGGTGATGGGCTTGGTCCTTTTCAGATAAGGGTGTTATTTCTGTCAGTGTACGAGTTTCCCCTTCCGTGTAAATAAAAACACAGTAGGACTGCACAATCGAGAGATCCAGAGAAGACGATTTGACGAAAACAACTGGAGTAAGGCGTTTTCTCTCAAAAAACAAAAGGAAGAGAAATACTGGTAGCATTTTAGAGCCAGGGAAGTTTTGATTAGAGTGAAACTCACGTTCACACTGATGTGGAATGTCTTCCTACTCATGAGTAGCTCAAGTGAGAAATTTTCGTGCTGACCTGTTCACATAACTTTCAAGCGACTTACGCTGAAAATCAGGGATATCTCCTGTAGCTCGGTGTTATACATCTTGTCAGTGTCGTGGAATACAGATTGGAGTGTCATAAAATATCATTGGTAGTTATTTTTCAAGAACTTGTCAGTGTTACAATTCGAAAGACTGTGTGTGCGTTTGCGATAATGGTCACGAAGAGACTGGATGTTACCGTGATGTGGCCGTTAGCGCGCTTCCATGATCCACTGAGCTGCGATGGAGAGAAAGCTCAAGTACTGCACCAACTTGACGAGCCCTGAGAAGATTGAAAGCGGTGTTAGGCTGTCAACTTGTTGTCAGCAAGCCTATGAGTAAATTCCAATGTCCAAAAAAATTTGACCGGCTTCCCGTAGAATAAAGCAAAAAAATCATAGCTAGGTTCGGCTTGGTCTAAATTAACATTTTGAGAGCTTTAAAGCTCAAGACTCCCACGGAGTAAATCGATTCATGGAAGGATTTTAACTTCGAACTGCTATTGATTATCCACTCAAAATTCAAAATGAGGTCAGAAGTGATCGAGTGACCGATAAGTATATGGGATTATTCTATAAAATCGATGTGACACATGTATGACTGTTTGAATAGGTCAAACTAATTGAAGGCTCATGTGAGTCGTTGTAGACGACTGGTTGTTTGCTGTGGTCAGACGTTGCGTGGTATTAAATTTGCAGTGTCTCAACAGAGATAAAACACTTCCTTGGTTCTATTCGTTATATTTGTAATTTTCTCTTTCAATGAAGACGACATTTAATGGACAACATACGGATCAAATCCCTCGTGAGGAAAACGGAAGAGCGACGAATGAGAACGCTACCACGTAAGATAGTCCAAAACGCTCTCCACAATACAGTTAGGTTAATTAATTAATTTCAGACTGAGAGTTTCAACAGTGAAACATATGATCCCAAATAACTACTCGCTTGAAGCACCTGCGGTATAGTCTCAAAACAAGGGAATAAACAGTCTGTCATGTGATGCGATCGAGACTGCATTGCTGAGTTATCACAGCGGTGTTTCACCGTCTGGCATTCTGCCCTTCAGAAACCACCTGGTATCTTGAGAAGAGGGAAGAAAACAAGCGCATCACTCAATCTCGAATTAGTACAGTTAAATCACACCGGTTTGTTGAACTGTCCCCTAGATTTCATTTGGTCGAAACTTTCACGTCCCAGGCCTAAATTATCAGTGTGTTGTCCTATTTCCTGAGTGCTCTTTTTTAGATTGCAGTATGATGTCTCACCTCCTTCAACACATCATAAAACAATATATCGGTGCTCACTAGGGACTGCCAAAAACGAAACACTTTGATCGTGATTGGTAAACAGGTGATATGTGCAGTCAGGTAATCGATATTCCGACCGATATTCCTAAATGTCATGAACAAAACTTATCTCGAATTAAGTATCGACACTGACTTATTATCGAGCATACCTGCTCAGTCATCTACCTCAACGAGTGCAGCCGTTCCTTAAGGTGACTGGCGTTGGTACGTTCGTTGGAGCTGCACTACCAACGGGACTTTTGTTTGAGTATGCACAGAGTGCCGGATCAATATGCGTTACATCAAGCGCCTCTGTCCAAAACCCGGCTTACTCATCTTTTCAACTCAAAATTGATATTTTCAAGCCCACTTGATGCATGCCCTAGTACCACATACTGCCTGATTAGTCTTGATCTGGTGGTCCCCCCCCCTAGTGATTGCTTTAACCATGGTAGTTTCACCATGGTTGACCCGAAGAGCCATCCTTCATTTACTAAACTTTTTTTTCAAAAAAAAACGAAGGGACAAGGATGCTTCCCAGTTAGCACGCGTCCGCTCCTGCTTTATTTGTAGTAATAAAAAACCACAATACCCTGCATTTCCGTGTGCCTAGGAAATGCAAACGGCCAACCGATTTAAGTGGTTTTGTTTTGTTTTGCGGCGCCATTGCTCGCGGGAAGCTCTGCGTTCTGCTTGTCCTCACGTACGGCTGAGAGTGAGTTTTGTTGTGCGGATATTGTGCGGAAATTTCCGCACCCGGGTGCGGAAGTGTGCGGATATTGTGCGGAAATTTCCGCACCCGGGTGCGGAAGTGTGCGGATATTGTGCGGAAATTTCCGCACCCGGGTGCGGAAGTGTGCGGATATTGTGCGGAAATTTCCGCACCCGGGTGCGGAAGTGTGCGGATATTGTGCGGAAATTTCCGCACCCGGGTGCGGAAGTGTGCGGATATTGTGCGGAAATTTCCGCACCCGGGTGCGGAAGTGTGCGGATATTGTGCGGAAATTTCCGCACCCGGGTGCGGAAGTGTGCGGATATTGTGCGGAAATTTCCGCACCCGGGTGCGGAAGTGTGCGGATATTGTGCGGAAATTTCCGCACCCGGGTGCGGAAGTGTGCGGATATTGTGCGGAAATTTCCGCACCCGGGTGCGGAAGTGTGCGGATATTGTGCGGAAATTTCCGCACCCGGGTGCGGAAGTGTGCGGATATTGTGCGGAAATTTCCGCACCCGGGTGCGGAAGTGTGCGGATATTGTGCGGAAATTTCCGCACCCGGGTGCGGAAGTGTGCGGATATTGTGCGGAAATTTCCGCACCCGGGTGCGGAAGTGTGCGGATATTGTGCGGAAATTTCCGCACCCGGGTGCGGAAGTGTGCGGATATTGTGCGGAAATTTCCGCACCCGGGTGCGGAAGTGTGCGGATATTGTGCGGAAATTTCCGCACCCGGGTGCGGAAGTGTGCGGATATTGTGCGGAAATTTCCGCACCCGGGTGCGGAAGTGTGCGGATATTGTGCGGAAATTTCCGCACCCGGGTGCGGAAGTGTGCGGATATTGTGCGGAAATTTCCGCACCCGGGTGCGGAAGTGTGCGGATATTGTGCGGAAATTTCCGCACCCGGGTGCGGAAGTGTGCGGATATTGTGCGGAAATTTCCGCACCCGGGTGCGGAAGTGTGCGGATATTGTGCGGAAATTTCCGCACCCGGGTGCGGAAGTGTGCGGATATTGTGCGGAAATTTCCGCACCCGGGTGCGGAAGTGTGCGGATATTGTGCGGAAATTTCCGCACCCGGGTGCGGAAGTGTGCGGATATTGTGCGGAAATTTCCGCACCCGGGTGCGGAAGTGTGCGGATATTGTGCGGAAATTTCCGCACCCGGGTGCGGAAGTGTGCGGATATTGTGCGGAAATTTCCGCACCCGGGTGCGGAAGTGTGCGGATATTGTGCGGAAATTTCCGCACCCGGGTGCGGAAGTGTGCGGATATTGTGCGGAAATTTCCGCACCCGGGTGCGGAAGTGTGCGGATATTGTGCGGAAATTTCCGCACCCGGGTGCGGAAGTGTGCGGATATTGTGCGGAAATTTCCGCACCCGGGTGCGGAAGTGTGCGGATATTGTGCGGAAATTTCCGCACCCGGGTGCGGAAGTGTGCGGATATTGTGCGGAAATTTCCGCACCCGGGTGCGGAAGTGTGCGGATATTGTGCGGAAATTTCCGCACCCGGGTGCGGAAGTGTGCGGATATTGTGCGGAAATTTCCGCACCCGGGTGCGGAAGTGTGCGGATATTGTGCGGAAATTTCCGCACCCGGGTGCGGAAGTGTGCGGATATTGTGCGGAAATTTCCGCACCCGGGTGCGGAAGTGTGCGGATATTGTGCGGAAATTTCCGCACCCGGGTGCGGAAGTGTGCGGATATTGTGCGGAAATTTCCGCACCCGGGTGCGGAAGTGTGCGGATATTGTGCGGAAATTTCCGCACCCGGGTGCGGAAGTGTGCGGATATTGTGCGGAAATTTCCGCACCCGGGTGCGGAAGTGTGCGGATATTGTGCGGAAATTTCCGCACCCGGGTGCGGAAGTGTGCGGATATTGTGCGGAAATTTCCGCACCCGGGTGCGGAAGTGTGCGGATATTGTGCGGAAATTTCCGCACCCGGGTGCGGAAGTGTGCGGATATTGTGCGGAAATTTCCGCACCCGGGTGCGGAAGTGTGCGGATATTGTGCGGAAATTTCCGCACCCGGGTGCGGAAGTGTGCGGATATTGTGCGGAAATTTCCGCACCCGGGTGCGGAAGTGTGCGGATATTGTGCGGAAATTTCCGCACCCGGGTGCGGAAGTGTGCGGATATTGTGCGGAAATTTCCGCACCCGGGTGCGGAAGTGTGCGGATATTGTGCGGAAATTTCCGCACCCGGGTGCGGAAGTGTGCGGATATTGTGCGGAAATTTCCGCACCCGGGTGCGGAAGTGTGCGGATATTGTGCGGAAATTTCCGCACCCGGGTGCGGAAGTGTGCGGATATTGTGCGGAAATTTCCGCACCCGGGTGCGGAAGTGTGCGGATATTGTGCGGAAATTTCCGCACCCGGGTGCGGAAGTGTGCGGATATTGTGCGGAAATTTCCGCACCCGGGTGCGGAAGTGTGCGGATATTGTGCGGAAATTTCCGCACCCGGGTGCGGAAGTGTGCGGATATTGTGCGGAAATTTCCGCACCCGGGTGCGGAAGTGTGCGGATATTGTGCGGAAATTTCCGCACCCGGGTGCGGAAGTGTGCGGATATTGTGCGGAAATTTCCGCACCCGGGTGCGGAAGTGTGCGGATATTGTGCGGAAATTTCCGCACCCGGGTGCGGAAGTGTGCGGATATTGTGCGGAAATTTCCGCACCCGGGTGCGGAAGTGTGCGGATATTGTGCGGAAATTTCCGCACCCGGGTGCGGAAGTGTGCGGATATTGTGCGGAAATTTCCGCACCCGGGTGCGGAAGTGTGCGGATATTGTGCGGAAATTTCCGCACCCGGGTGCGGAAGTGTGCGGATATTGTGCGGAAATTTCCGCACCCGGGTGCGGAAGTGTGCGGATATTGTGCGGAAATTTCCGCACCCGGGTGCGGAAGTGTGCGGATATTGTGCGGAAATTTCCGCACCCGGGTGCGGAAGTGTGCGGATATTGTGCGGAAATTTCCGCACCCGGGTGCGGAAGTGTGCGGATATTGTGCGGAAATTTCCGCACCCGGGTGCGGAAGTGTGCGGATATTGTGCGGAAATTTCCGCACCCGGGTGCGGAAGTGTGCGGATATTGTGCGGAAATTTCCGCACCCGGGTGCGGAAGTGTGCGGATATTGTGCGGAAATTTCCGCACCCGGGTGCGGAAGTGTGCGGATATTGTGCGGAAATTTCCGCACCCGGGTGCGGAAGTGTGCGGATATTGTGCGGAAATTTCCGCACCCGGGTGCGGAAGTGTGCGGATATTGTGCGGAAATTTCCGCACCCGGGTGCGGAAGTGTGCGGATATTGTGCGGAAATTTCCGCACCCGGGTGCGGAAGTGTGCGGATATTGTGCGGAAATTTCCGCACCCGGGTGCGGAAGTGTGCGGATATTGTGCGGAAATTTCCGCACCCGGGTGCGGAAGTGTGCGGATATTGTGCGGAAATTTCCGCACCCGGGTGCGGAAGTGTGCGGATATTGTGCGGAAATTTCCGCACCCGGGTGCGGAAGTGTGCGGATATTGTGCGGAAATTTCCGCACCCGGGTGCGGAAGTGTGCGGATATTGTGCGGAAATTTCCGCACCCGGGTGCGGAAGTGTGCGGATATTGTGCGGAAATTTCCGCACCCGGGTGCGGAAGTGTGCGGATATTGTGCGGAAATTTCCGCACCCGGGTGCGGAAGTGTGCGGATATTGTGCGGAAATTTCCGCACCCGGGTGCGGAAGTGTGCGGATATTGTGCGGAAATTTCCGCACCCGGGTGCGGAAGTGTGCGGATATTGTGCGGAAATTTCCGCACCCGGGTGCGGAAGTGTGCGGATATTGTGCGGAAATTTCCGCACCCGGGTGCGGAAGTGTGCGGATATTGTGCGGAAATTTCCGCACCCGGGTGCGGAAGTGTGCGGATATTGTGCGGAAATTTCCGCACCCGGGTGCGGAAGTGTGCGGATATTGTGCGGAAATTTCCGCACCCGGGTGCGGAAGTGTGCGGATATTGTGCGGAAATTTCCGCACCCGGGTGCGGAAGTGTGCGGATATTGTGCGGAAATTTCCGCACCCGGGTGCGGAAGTGTGCGGATATTGTGCGGAAATTTCCGCACCCGGGTGCGGAAGTGTGCGGATATTGTGCGGAAACTTGTTTCATTTCCGCACTGGTTCCGCACCCGGGTGCAGAAATCTGCGGAACTTGTGCGGAAATGTCCGCACCCGGGTGCAGACATTCTGCAGAAATTTCTGCACCGGTGCTAACTGGTTTATTCAGGAGACTCAGTAAATTGTGAGTAGACAGCTGACTGACAGGGACACAGGGAACCCAAGCAAAGCAGTGAAAGGTGTTGCTGTTGCCCGAGAATCCCAACAAGTTATCCTTGTTCAATTGAATTCAGATCAACTTTATATGTCACTTCGAACTCAGAGGCATCTCACACCTCTTAGGTAAGATATGTTGATCACCTATTAAATCAGCTGAGTTCCCAACACCCACCATGAGTCAACTGATGCATCACACGTAAGATGGCCTTTAATTGGATGTTGTCTTGAACAAACTTTCATAAATATTAGGATAACACAGCTCTTAGTACTATTCAAAGCATATTTCTGTATAAATTATTATTATAGGAAAGCCACTTTCCGGGGTGATTCGGTCCTTGGGGCATTTGAGAGCAGAAGAACAATGGAGTTCTGCTGAATAAATGCAGTACCTGCACCGAGGCCTATGGGAGCTTCAAAGATGTCCGGAAACGAGCAACTCGAAATAATTGATCACCACGTCGACCGGGTGAATGTGTTGGGAACCGGCCACAGATGAAAAAGAACCCATGTTCTGATTGGCCAGTATATGGGCCATCAGCCCAGCGCTATTTCCCCCAAGATTGACCTTGTGTGAAAACCCTGTGATAACTCCAAGGTACATCTGTAACAGTCATCCGCTGTAGTTAATAAAGACTGTTTCAAACTTCCGTGCCTTCTAACGTTCCAGACTAAACAGGGCAACAAGCAAAGGACCGACACAAGAGTTACAGTCCACAACGAAAATTCAACGTCTGCGCTTGCCAGGATGATGTAAAAGTGGTTCCTAGAGTTGATTCATCAAATTGTAATGTACAGTACAGTTGAGAGTGTGACAGAGGAATCCAGCAACACCATTTAAGTGATCTGACTTGCTTAAGCCCGAAAAGACGCTTTCTTTTTAGAGAAAAGTTTTGCGCCGGGAAGGAATAAGTCTACCTAGGTTAATTCTGGCAAAACGATAAATTCAAGTTGCAAACTATGATTGGAAGCAGTGTGGAGCAGAAATAAAAGATAGAATAGAGAAAATCGAGGCGCGTGATTCAGTTTCAATAAGACACTATTGCAGAGGTCATTTATCCCAGCAAAAGAGGTGAAGCTTGATTGATCGACTCCACAAACCTATCCTCTTTGATTCTATTGCGAATCACGTGCTACTTTTTACAGTGAAGTTTCAGTGCCTTTCTCTGCGGTAGCTCCAATACCTTTCGGGGTGAAAACGAAGGACGATGTGATGAAGCAACCAAATATGTGTACGGCCTGGTTGATATGTGAACCCAAAACGGAGCGAACAAAAGGCGGAAATTTTGAATTTCGGACTTATGGACTCGCCTACTGCATAGCTCAGCAGCTTTCACCGATGTGTAAGCTCAGCTGATATCTGCTGTTTAAATCAGCTGACGTTACCCCAACCCGCAGAAAGTATCGCGCTTGCATATGTTCTGGTGCCCCGGAAGTGTGCCTATCGCGCTTGCATATGTTCTGGCGCCCCGGTGATGTGCTATCAGGTGCCGATTCCCACGTTTTTGGCTACATTAACTCTGCATTACGTCTTCCACACGCGTCTGGAGTCATAGTATTAGAGACACTATCGACCGATGCCGTCTGGATACATGGGCGGTGTACAAATCGATTGTACATTCTAATAACAGGTGATTTACTGTTCGTAGTTCTACTACTTGGTCCCTAGTGTTTCACTATCCTTGAATGATATAGCACTGAGATCTTTTCGCCAAGATTTTGGCTCAAATCGGATTCCAAGTTGAATCCTTCATCTCTCGCCTACACCTTTTTATCCAGGTTACAGCGCAAAGACTGCTCTCTGTGGACTATATAAACGCAGGCACGAAGAGAGGAACTACCCAACCAACAGCGCACTGAAGATGTCTCCTCGAATGGTGACGAAACGTTTGCAAATCAATTGTGGTTTGGTTTCTTGGTTCGTCGAGGCAGGGCAAGTCTTGTGTTCACCCACCTTATTGTCACGGCTGCTGACTGACGAAGTTCACCAGGTTTTTCATGTTGACGGAAAATCCAACGTTAGGGTACAGCTAGTGTTGTGTTTCAAATCTCTGGATTATATTACATGACCACGCCGTTTTCTAAGAGAACGCGAATTCTGGGACACTTGAACAGTGCAGTAAAAAGAGGATGCGACCCGTATAAATTCTCTGGAGCACACAATCTAATTGAAAGCTCGGAGTGATCACTGGAAGGCCTTATGAACGCGCAGTTGCTAACCGACCGAAATGGACCATTCCTGTGTATATATCACTGCTGATATGTTACTACTTTCAAAATATATTCAACTTAACACTTAAGTAGCTGATTTTTTCCAATAACTGACACGAGGTCGGTTCAAACCAAAGACCTTCCGGTCAGTACACTCGCGCACTTATCACTGAGCCACCTCGCCTTTTGGGATCCGGTCACAGCTTACGCTAAACCTCTGGCACGATTCCCAGCCCCGTAGGGGTGTGATTATCAGTTTGTCCGCGAGGATCGATAACGCTTAGCAGAGAGTTAACTGTATAAATAAGTCAGCAGCTGGTCAAACCAAAAACCAAGCCTGAAACGCATGATTTCTGTATACGAATTGAGCGCAATCGGCCATAACCTTAGCCAGATCACATAACCGGGGGACCGACGTTGTGATAGACGAACACCTTCTTCTGTCCCCCAAAAAATGATAAAAGAATAACATTTAATCATCCAACGCAAGCTCATTCTTAGGCAGGAGGTACCCTGACACCCAAACGCGCTTTCGAATGTGGATGACAAAAGGGCCATCTGATAATGGTAGAAAGCCAGTAAAGATGCAATGTCAAGTAAGAACGCACTCATTCAACTGACACACCAAAAAAGCAAAGTCCCGTCTGTGAGTAGTACTCATCAGCACTGCCCATGAATCTATAATATGATGGTAGAACAGCCTTAAATGGGCTTGCCTGCTTGAGTACGTCACTCGGATAAATATGCAGGCCTAGTCAACTTTCGAATTGCGTTTCTGGTTCCCCTCACTTTAGCTTTGACCTCACGAGGAATCTCCTACATGGGTACAATCAACAGGCATTCTAAATAACGGTAATAATGAAAAATGATTTCTTATGGAGGAGCAAACATTTTTTATGCTCTCGGAGGTATTTGTCCGTTTGTAAACCAACTCACACAAGTAGCTGTCCACAAAAGATCGGTGTGTGCCGCATTGACTTTTATTCTGCGTCCTGTAGACATGCCAAGGAGATTCGATGGTTTGTGTGTGAGCTCCAGTCGTTGGATCCACAAATTTTTCGGTATGATTAACCGTTGGAGTATGCAAAAGCCGCCAGGCGCAAACTTCGCGAAGAAAGTTCTTCCAGTCAACAGCGGTCGTGTGGTTAATAGATAACTCCTCTGAGCAGAATTTGATTTTTTCCAAATTTTTGGACCAGCAATAAATCAATACAATTACTGTCCTAAACTCCATCATAGACCGCTCCAGTCAAGTTCTCTTTCGAAGACTGATTTCTTGCCGACACTGTCCGGCATTACACCTGCACCTGTCAAAAACAGTTACGTTAATGGCGGAGCTTATCTGGAAAAGATCTGGTTGTATTTTGGCTTGTCTGGAATTCTTAATGACAGAAGCATTGGGAATAGGTATGATGCCATACAGCCCCCCTCATCTACGTCATCAAGAACAAACATTTTTCACGAATAAGACACCCACAATGACTAGTTTACCACAGTGATACACATTGAAATCAACGAAAGCGACCGTCGTTTTTGGATACTCGAATACTGTCGAGTTCGCGCTTCCTC